AGCAGCAATGCTGTATTTGTAGATAGGAAATTAGGAAACTCCAAAACAGTGCAAAAAAGATTGAATATAAGTAACCCACATACACTGAATCCCAGTCCCTAGACTACCTGTCCAGGTAGTCCTCCACTTACAACAGTTCATTTAGTGACCATTCAAAGTTGCAACGGAACAGAAAAAAGTGACTTATGACCATTTTTCACACTTATGGCTGTTGCAGCATCCCCATGGTTACGTGTTTTACACTTAGAGGCTTGGCAACTGAATCATATTTATGACAGTTGCAGTGTGATGTGATCCCCTTTACGACCTTCTGACAAGCAAAGTCGATTGCAAGACAGAGTCACTTAACAACCATATTACTAACTTAACAATTGCAGTGATTCACTTAACAAATGTGGCAAGAAAGGTTGTAAAATGGGGCAAGATTCACTTAACAAATTTCTCATTTAGCAACATAAATTCTGGGCTCAATTGTGGTCATAAGTCGAGGACGACCAATGGTGCCCATGGACAAAAAGAGCTAAATACCTCAAGGCAACATATCATAAGTACAGATAGTCCTCAACTTATGACCACAATTGAGCTCAAAATTTCCATTGGTAAGCAAGGCAATTACTAGGTGAGTTTTTACCCCATTTTACGACTTTTTTTCTTGCGAAACTTGTTAAGCAAATCACTGAAGTCGTTAACTGAATCATGTGATCGTTAAGAGAATCTGGCTTCCTCTATTGACTTTGCTTGTTGGAAGCTGGCTGGGAAGGTTACAAATGGTGATCATATAATCCCATGACTCCAGGACATGCAACTGTCCAGTTGTCTTGAGTCCTTCCACGTTGCAGTTATGATTGTGTAATATCTTGGCTATTATGAAGAGAGGCAGTGCTACATTATCTTCTGAAATAGTCATCTCGGGGATTTTAGATAACTATTGTCCAATCACTAACCTCCCTCACTTAGGTATGATTATTCAGAAAGAAGTGTCGACCAACGTCAACAACTTAGAATAAGCAGATGATTTATGCCCTTCTCAGATAGAGCTCATATCTGGATACAGGACAGAGACTGCATTGATGGTTCTCTTGGATGATTGATGCCAGGACTCAGTTGCGGAAAATGTTTCCTTCATGCTTCTGTTTGTTAATCTCTTCAAGGCAGGCAAACTCAAGAAACAAGAACCGCTTGGGCTTCTGCAAAGGTCTTGATTCCTATTACGGTAAGGTAAACAATCTTGAAAGCCTGCAAAGGAATTCTCCACCTTAACTTATTCTTAACATAATTAAGATGGCAGTCTCTTTCTTACCTTTTCCCCTTCTCCAGGACTCAAAAAACTTTATTAAATTTATATACCACTTACCTCGCTATCCAAAGCAATTCTGGGTGATTTACAATACAATTAAAGTATCAATATAAAAACAATTTAAAATTACAAAAGTTAGGAATAGACTAAAAACTAGGGGCTGGAGCAATGCGGAGGCGATGCCTCTTCTGTAACTGCACCAACCACCTCTATTCCTATGCCGCATAGCCCTCTTTCCAGGATCTGTGAGACAGCACATAAATTAGACCTTTTGAGCAGCTTTCAATACCAAGAATTAAGGTATCTTAATGGACCAAATCGGGGTGTGTGTGTTGGGGATTGGAATCATTTTACAACAGTTCCACCCTTCCTCAGTGAGTTGTTTCAGTCTGTTTCAATCCTAGCTTCTGCAATGTGGGATGCTGTAGGGCTTGGTTCTCTTTTCTTGTTTTTTAGCAGCTATACAAAACAGGACAGAATGAACAGAGAGCTAATTTGGTCTAGTGATTAGACCACTAGTCTACAAACCAGGAAACTGAGTTCTAGTCCCACATTAAGCATAGAAGCTGGCTGGGTCACTTTGGGCCAGTCACTTGTTTTCAACCCCATTCATCTCACAGGATTATTGTTGTGGGGAAAAAAGGACAAGGAAGAAGTATTAAGTATGTTCGCCACCTAGTTATTAAAAAATAAAAATAAAGGCCGGATTTTTAAAAAAAGTCTGTAGTAAAAAATGTTGGGAGAGATTTTGGAGTGTGGATATCAGTCCACTGATGATATCCAACTTTATGCCACCACTCCAGGTTGTGGAGGAGATACTGTTGATGTCCTGTCCTGATGTCTGGAGCTGTAAGAGCCAGGATGGGTAAAAACAGACTGAAGTGGAACCCAGTTTAGACAGAACTGTTGTTTATACATTGGATACTTCTGATGATACCAGCATCATTTCCACATGGGCAAAAGAGCATTTGGGGATTTTTCTGGACTTACGACTCCTGCCTGAGTAGCAGGTAGAAGCCATGGCTAGAAGTCCTTTGCTGCTCTTTGAAATATAACACCACAGTACAGGAGGAACTAGGCTCCAATAACATATGCCCTCATTGCTACCACACTGGATTACTATACCACACTTTACATAAGGCTGCTCCTTAAAAAGATTGTGTGCCATCAAGTTGGTTTGATTCCTCATGACCACATAGCTAGATTTTCTCCCATGGTTTATTATTAACCTGTTCTTTCAAGTGTCCCAGCCATGCAGATATCACCAGTGTAACTGAGTCTATCCACCTTACTTTTGGTCCTCCTCTTCTTCTCTTTCCCTCCACCTTTTCTACCACTGGAATCTTTTCCAGAGAGCTGAATCTGCAAAATGTGTTGAAAGTAGGATAATTTGAGCCTACTCATTTGTGCCTCAAGTGACAAGTCTGGATTGATTTGTTCAATGATTTCTCAGTTTGTTTTCTTGATTGTCCATGATACTCGAATCTTCTACAACATCAAAGTTCAAAGGCATCAATATTCTTCCTATCTTTCTTCTTTAAAGTCTAACTTTCACTGCCATAGAGCAGTGTTTCTCAACCTTGGTAACTTGAAGTCCTGTGGACTTCAACTCCCAGAATACCCCAGCCAGCTATTCTGGGAGTTGAAGTCCACAGAACTTCAAGTTGTCAAGGTTGAGAAACACTGCCATAGAGGATCACTATGACTCACAGAGTTTTGTAGGTATAATCAGATCAGGGCACTTGAATATCTTTTCCAAGATCTTCATGGCTGCTTTGCAGAGTCCTAGTCTATGTGGCATATTTCTGAGTAGCTACTCAGTAAATGTCCAGAATGCAACAGCCTCTATATTCACTGGCTCTCACACTGGAAATATAGAATATTGATCCTGCGGGCCCTGCATTGTTTGCCAATTAATTTCTAGGTACAATTTAAGGTGCTTGAATTGATTTATAGAGGTTTTTATAGTTTGGCATTGGGTACCTGCAGGATTGTCTATTGTAGCTGGAATCAATCTGACCCACTTCTGATCTTGCACTACTGAAAGGTGAGAAGGGCTGAAGTTAGAGGATTTTGCTTTTCTGTGGCAACACTGATGATTCCCAATACAAGTCAGATCAGCATCCCTCTTGTTGATCTTCAGGAAGATTTCAAAAATAGATTTATTTGAAAGGGCATTTTGTATTTTCATTTAAGAACCATGACACCTTTTATTTCCTTTTGTTTTCACATTCATTATTAATTTTATTTTGGGGCTTTTATTATATTATTCTTTGATCACACTATGGATGTTTTTACACTTTTACTGCATGGAAGCTGACAAGAATCATATTGCAGCGGCTTATAAGTAAAATAAAAAATTACTATGTGGAAAGGTAGAAATGCCAAGTCAAAATTTTGCTATAATCACAGAGTTTCCTCATTCTTACTCATTTTTACACAAGGCCCTCCTCCCCATGTTTTTTTCCGTGTTGTTTTAATGGTCTGTTTTTTTAAAAAAATCTTGTGAAAGTTTACTGATTTGAGAATGGATATATGTATGTAAAACTGCTACAACTCCACATATTCAAAAACATTTAAAATCTTAATGTTCCTTAATTATCAAGAACATTAAGGAGTAGAAGCAGTGGTAGTATAATGATGAGTTGTCCTATCACATGCTAATATTCTTATAAGCTGGAGATCTCTTATTAACAAGCACCCTGTGAAATAGATATAGTTCCAACATCTTAGATGACCTGTTAAGTATCCACATATGCAATTATCCTTCACACCTACAGTATAACTGTTACATACAGCTGCCCACTTAACAATTAGCTTTTCACAGTAATTGCAATATAGTTAGAACTAAAAGATTCAATATGCTCAAAATCTGCACTTGAGAGTTGATTCATTTGCAACAGACTATCTCAGGAATATGTTTTTAAGAGTCAGTACTGGAAATTAAAGAAAGTAAGAATGAATGATTTATTGCATCCATATACATTGAGCCTGTAATACATGTATTCAAAATAACATCTATTAACTCCACAGCAACAATAATTGAACTAATTTCAATATATATTAAAACTGTAAGATGGCAAAACTGTCTTATTAGGATATTGCCAACTCAGAATAAAAAGTGATGAAGTTGTTGTGGTAAACATTCATTACACATAACATTCATTACACATTTCTGTTGAAAAAGCAGCATACAAAATTTTAGCAATTAAGGGAATCCCCGAAAACCAAGTTTAGTGTCCTATGATAAAGCCATCTTCACCTCCCCCCCTTCCCCCCATAACAATTAGGAGGAAATGTTATTTAGGTTTTTAAAAATATTTCTGGAAGCTAGAATATTATATGTATGAGCAAACAAGAGAGAGCTAAAAAGAAAACACTGCAATTCCACTGGCGTGATTTGCTAAAGAGCAAATCTCACTAAAACCAGTGGGGTTCACTTAGGGCACAGATGCGCTAAAATCAAGTTTGTCTCCCCCAGTGCTTCTATGTAGGATCCTCCCCTTCCTATACCATATAGCCATTTGCCTATACCTCCCATTCCATCTTCTCCATCCACACATTAGTCCTTGCCGGTGTCCCTCGCACACACGTACACAACAAAACACACCGACCCGCCTCCCCCCTCCCCTCCACCCGCCCCCAAGAAAAATACCCCGCCTCGCCTCGCCTCGCCTGAAGGAACTGCAGCTCCCCTACGTACCTCCTCGGTCGGTCTCTTCGCAGCATCGGTAACCTTAGCAACCGCAGGTGCGGCAGCCATTGGCCCGTTTAACAGGAGGCCGCGCCCAATGGGGATCCGAGCTGCGGCGCGCTCCGCCAATCTGAGCGAGGCATAGGGCAGGGCGCCTTGTTGACGTCTGACGAGGGGAGGAGGACGCGAGGGGCGGGAAGAAGCGGGAGGAGAGCCTGCGAGGGAGGAGGAGGAGTAGGGAGGAGGAGGAAGAAGAATTTGTGCTGCTCGGCTGTGGCACGTTAGTCTGCCTACCATGGACACCCCGGGGTAGGGCCCTTCCCGGCGGGGCGGCCGCGGCCCCTCCGTGCCCACGAAGACCCAGCGCCGGCGGGGGAGGGGCTCCTGGCTCAGTCAAGGCGGTGAGTGACTCTTCCCGGCTTCTCTCTCTCATTTTCCCGAGCGGGGAGAAAGAGCACCGGAGAGGCTGCGGGGTGCGAAGAGCAGCGTGGGGGCTCGGGGGGAACGGCCTGCCGGGGATCCCGCTGAGGAGGTGGGAGTCTATTTTTTTTTTTGTATTATCCTGCCCTCCTCCGTCCGGTTGCCGCCGCTCTTTTCCTTGCCTTTTACCTGCCCCTCCACTTCCTCCTCCCGCTTGGATGGATTAGCTGCCTCCTCTCTCGCCTCCTGCTAACTTTTCCTCCCCGTCTCTCGGGTCTCTGCCGCCCTCCACTTTGAAAAGAAACTTGTCTAACTCCCAATAATCGTGCCTCCTCTAATGAAGCACATTACTTCTTTTTTTCTTCTTCTTTAGTCACTACCTTCCCTGGCTCGCCTGCGCATTACTTATCCGTTTCAGTCCCTCTCGCGGTTGCCGTTTTAGTCCCCCCCCCGGTTTTTTATTCTTCCCACAGTAGTGCATCCTCTCGGTGTCTTTTTCCTTCTGTGTCAAAATGATAAATCTGCTTTACACTCTAAATATTTGTCTTCTGTCTTCTCCCTTTTTTCTGTGAAGGGGCTCCACCTAAATATTCTCCCTCTTTTTTAAAATCAACTTCCTTTATTGCAGATGTTTTTATTCCTGTCTCCTTTGCCCTTGCATATTTGGATGCCTGTGTTAAATAAAATACTGTACCTTTCTCCTTTTCTACCTTTGCGCTTAAATGCTGTTCCCTCAGAATTGTCCAAAGCTGCCTCAGTAAAAACTACATTTTTACATAGTATTATTTATATTGTATAATAGTATTTATCTCTCCTAAAGCTTCCTGTCCCTTCTCTTTAAGTGAGGCTTACCTAATGCCCTTCACCCAGTGAACAGTGTTTTAAATGCATTGCTCCCCCCCTTTTAGCTTTGTCCTTGAATTAAAATGAATAGCTTATGATTTCTGTGAAAATGGTCACTCTTTATCTTACAAATGTTGCATTTTGTTAGTTTACTCCCTAGGTTTTTTCCACATTTCTTAAACCTCCCATGTTACTACATAAAAATCCTTTTAGTTTTTCCCTGGCTATTTGCATCTCTCTTAAATGCTTTTACAAGCTCTGCTCCTTCCTTCATCTTTGCCTTCTCTCAGTTTGCCAGTGTAGAAATTTTCTACTTCTTTAGTCTTTTTCTTTTCTAAAGGGGCTTATTCCAGTCCTCTTGATTCCCTATTAGTGAGTTTCCCCCCTTTTTTGGCCCTCTGATTCCTTCTCTCTTAACCTGCTGAGCCTCTCCTCATTCAGCCTTGCCCAGTCTTGTATTTTCTCTCATTTGCTTGTTAGACTACTTGCAACCCGGTTGGGGGAGCAAATCCACTGAGAGCTTTTAGCATGTCTTCTCTCAGTAGACCTCAACTACTGCCCCTCTGCAGTTGCCCTGTAGGGAGAAGACAAAAAAAGAGCAATGGGGTAATCTAGCTCTGGCTACATATTTGAGGAGTGTAACCCAGCTCTGTGTGTGTGTATGGAAGCTGGTGGTGCTCTGGACAGATTAAGAGGCAGGTGTGTGCCTGTGAGCTTTATTGGTTGGGGAGGGGGAGACTCTTGTTTGTTCCTGGAGCTTTCAGATAGGGCAGGAATGTGAAGAATGCCTTGAAAGCCAGCTGCAATAGATCGGTTCCTCTTGTCCAAGCTTTCAAAGGTCACCGGACCATCTATCTAGCAGCCAGCATCTCTGACTACTGCAGAAATGTGTGGGAGCACTGTCTGTACTACATGCATTACGTAGGATCAGGTTAGATTCTAGTGACAATGTTCTATTACTTGAAGACTGGTTTTGAAGGCAAAAATGATTGCTGTGTTGCCTATCCCCCTTAGCAAGGGTACAGCTTGCTTAACCCCTCCCTTTCAAATGTATTTATGCCAAGTTTTATTCTAACATAATCCAGGTTAGTGCTGTGGCATTCTTTTATATGTTTCGAAGCAGAGCTTTGGAAACTAAGTGCTGGGGAAACTGTGGGAGATTCAGAGAGAGTGGATTGAGGGAAAACATTAAATCTGCATTGTGCTAAAGAACGCTTTATGGGGTTTTTTAAATATTAAATGCCGTTGTCAGAAAATTAATCTGCATGGTATCTTTGTGGAGCGCTTACAGAGCATTAGAACCTCTTCTTGTTAATACTAAGCTGCAAGTACCCCAACCTCTTATAATACCTATCAGATTACCCAATAGAGAAGTTGTGTTGTCCTAATGATGGGCCAGAGATAACTGTCTGGTACAGCTAAATTACTGGGCGTGTCAATTACCATTTGAAATCACACTGAAGAGCAATGGGACAGAACAATTGGCAAGATATCTTTTTCCCAGGTTTGCATCTAATAATTCTGTGGATTATGGCTGTTCATTTATTTGAGCTGCCAACACCAGTTAATTTGATATGGGGTGTGTGTGCTTGGGTCGATATCTTAGGTTGGAAGAGATAAAAAGTTTGAAGCAGAATAGTTTAGCTGTAGGTAAAGGGGAATCATCTATGTGTCTGGACATGGTCTAAAAGTAGATTTTTCTGTTTGTCTTAAAAAAAAAGCCTGGCAGATGAAAGGAAATAATTACAATGCTTCAGTAATGAAGAAACTACAGCAGTAGCTGCCAAAGCAAATCCCAGAACATATCATATAGGCTGCTGTTCTGACATGTTTGGGGCAGTTTTTGTATACAGGACATGGTGAATTGGCTATTACATTTAATTAAAAGGTATCTACTCAGAAAAGTTAGACAGAGTGTTCTGCATCTCAGCAGGTATTGCAGTTATTTTGATGAAGTGATTATATATTCAAGCTTTAAAAGGTTTGCAGTGTCACATACTAAATAACATTTATGGCTAACTATTTTTTATTGAAAATAAATGTTGCAAAATATTTAGAGGGATATCTGCTTTGCTCAATACATAGTGATAATGGCACTGTGTTTTGTTAATGATATATTCTGGATTCTTCTTTCACATGTAAGGTTTTATAATTGATACGTTTGTCTTCTGAGGAAGGATCACAAGTTCCAGCACATTTAAATGGATGTTTACAATAGTTATATAGAATTAGTAAAGGGAAGCAAAAGATTTGGCAAACAGTATATTCTTCCTGTCTGCTAAAGACTAAGTATTACTAAAATGAGATAAAATATATATATTTTAAAAAATTTAGAACCTTGAAGCTTTTTCAGCTGCAGTGATTACTAAGATCTTTTAAGTACCCAAATATTTTTATAAATTATAAAAATGTTGCATCTATATGTTGTCATTTCTCAGCTCAAGGTGGCATATGTAGCAGTCTGCTCTAATATAACCCTAGGAACAAGAATACTTAAACTGAATGATTGCAATTTAGCGTGCAATCATATAAAATATACTCTATAACTGGGAAATTAGCTGAGGGTAGAAACGTATTTAACATAGTACTAAGTCATTGTACTGCACTGTTAAATGTATGTATCACCCTCCCCTTTCCCAGATTATTTGATTTTTCCCTTTAACCATCATCTGGTACGGTTACAGCAATTATGGAACCAGCAAAGGTCAGATAAAACTCTGTATATCTTGTAATACGACTTCTCAAATCTCCCTATACACATTAGTTACTCTAACCAGTTTATTTTGGCAGTAAGGTAACATCAATCCTCCTTCCTTTTTTCCTTCTTAAGACTCAAAGGCAGTCTTAGAACCTTTTTGTAGGGTCATTAATAAAGTTCCCAAGTACAGAATATATTCAATTTTAAATTGCTCTCTTTATTTAAACATTGCATTTAAAGTAATACTTGTAAATTCCTTTTCATATGATATATGAAATAGAATTTCCCCCAGAATGCTTGAGGAAAATGATCTGAAAATAAGATTTGTATTGTATGAACAATCGAATAAGAATATCTCTGTACTGAAAGGTAAAATACATTCTTGGAAAATAGTTACATTAATCTGTAATATAGTAAACTATTCTTTTTATCCTAGGGAATAGTAGATATAGTAGATAGTAGATATAATACTAAAAGCTGAATAATCCAAGCAGTTTCTCAGTCATTTTTTAATCATTCATCACAAGGGTTATCTTTATGTATCTCTAAAATTTTAAAAAGAAAAATCTACCAAGATACATTGGTTGGGGTATGTTGATGGTAGTTCAATTACCTACTCACTTAAATGTCAGAAGAGGCTATCCAATTGGGATTGGAGAGGATTACTTTGCTCTGGCTCCTCTTTTTGTGTGTGAAAGCTTTGTATCATTCATGTCTTTTTGTCAGGCTGTTATAACTAGCCTGAAGAGTGAAAGCTAAAATGTGTGCAGTTGCCATTGAACTCAATGGAAACTAGATAGAGGATGAGAAATGACAGAAATAGAGAGAAAGGGGGAGGATTAAATGGAATGAGAAAAGGCCATTTAAGAAGAGAAGAGAGAGATTAGTCTATTTATGGGCTGGTAGTTAGATGGTATAATGAGAATTATGGGGGGGGGGAGATATCTGAGAAATTGAACATCTAAGACATGGTTAGGCTAATTGGAAATGCAAAGTAGCTGAGGGGAAGAATGCAGAAGTCTATAACTAAATTTAGTATCTAGATTTGGATTTGAATGTTTACCATTTAGAATTTTCAAGGC